TGTCAGGGTTCCTGGGGCAGGAGTCAGAGTGCAAGGCCCCGTAAGGCCCAAGCTTGGAGCTGAGTCACAGTCACTGCCGCTACATTTGGTTGGCTACAGCAAGTCATAAAGCCAGCCCAGATTCCAGGGGACATTGACCTCACCTCTGATGGGAGAACTGCCAGGTCACCTCCCAAAGGCCATCGATAAGTTGTTGTTAGCTGCGGCCGAGTCAATACCAACTCGTGGTGAAATCACGCACCAAGTACCAGTGAGTTCGAGTCCATCAGTACAGCTGTTGTGCCGGTCCACCTCACCAAGGGCCACCACCCTCACCCTTGCTGGCCCTCTCCTTCACCAAACAGCAATTGATCCTTCTTGATGACGTGTCCAAAGTAAGTGAATTAGACAATGTTCTGTTACGACCCGTAAGGTTTTCACTGGTTAATTTTTGGAAGTAGATCACCGACAATGTTCTGTTACGACCCATAAGGTTTTCGTTGGTTAATTTTTGGAAGTAGATCGCCGACAATGTTCTGTTACGATCCGTAAGGTTTTCGTTGGTTAATTTTTGGAAGTAGATCGCCGACAATGTTCTGTTACTATCCGTAAGGTTTTTGTTGGTTAATTTTTGGAAGTAGATCCCCGACAATGTTCTGTTACGATCCGTAAGGTTTTCATCGGTTAATTTTTGGAAGTAGATCACCGACAATGTTCTGTTACGATCCGTAAGGTTTTCGTTGGTTAATTTTTGGAAGTAGATCACCAGGTCTTTTTTCTTAGTCTGTCTTAGCCTGGAAGCTCCACTGAAACCAGTCCACCATGGACAACCCTACTGGTATTTGAAATGCCGGTGAAATAGCCTCCAGCACCATAGTAACACACAAGCCGATATTGTACAACAAACTGATGTCGACGTCCAGGTGGAGAATTGAGGCCAGCATACTGTATTACTTAACCTCTTTGAGATTCAATTTGGTCATGTATAAAATGAGAATAATAATACATGTATAATGGGATACCCTAGCTAAAACTTGGGCCCCATGTTTTTTTGTTTTTGTTTTTTAAGCTAATCTTACAAAAGGAAAAGGCAAAGAATTAGATGTGCCTTTGGGGAAAGCTATTGGTTTGTATCTGAAAAAACTTTGAGTGGGGGCCTCTGATTACATTAATGTAAAGAGAGTAATACGGCAAGACAAGTGTGCACCTCCCATCTGAGGAAAGACTGAAATAATCCCAATGCAGACTGAGAAGCTAAGTATTTCGCTTAGCATTGCTTCATTCCTTCATTTGTTCATTCAATCATTCATTTATACAGTGAGCCAATCAAAACCTATTTTGTGTGAGAGGAGCTGAATGAACAGAGTCGGATGTCAGAGAGAGGAGATGAAATCATTTCTCGTTGCTGGCGGACTGTGTGTGGGACAGAGAGATTGTCAGGGCATCTCCTTGTACCCACTGTGAGGAGGTTGGCCCGTGGCCTAAGGGAATAAGGAGCCGTTGAAGGTTTTAGACAGGGAGCGACGCGATCAGCTTTGCAAATTTTAAAGATTCCTCAGGCTGCTGTGTGGAGAATGAACTGGTGGGAGGTGGAGAGTGCGGCGGGGAGGAACCCCTTAGGAGATATTCCAATCATCCAGGCCAGTGATGCTGTCGAAGCAAGAGGTGGAGGGAATTGGGTGATATGAAGAGATATTTGGGAGGGAGAATTAGTGGAACTGGGAGCCTGGTGGCAACAGGGGTAAGGGAGGGGAAGTGTGGTGTTCGACACTTGGGTTTTCTGTCTTGGGCCTGGATGGAGGGGGCATCCCCTGAGACAGGAGACACAAGAGGGGCAGCTGGTGGGTCGCGTGTCAGCTTCATTGCTGTGGTGGCTGCGGGTGTTCCATTTCTCTGCAAGACTTTGGACTATTCTGTGCCTGTAAACCCTTACTTTTTCCTGTAGAAGGGTGTGTGTGTGTGTGTGTGTGTGTGTGAGACTGAGTGTGTGTGTGTCTCTACTCCTGTGAGCCAGCACACCCTGGCGACAAGGAGCTGACACAGATGACTTCAGGATCTGCAGGCATGACCTCTACGTCTGAACATGTTATACTCTCCCCCTCCCCAGGATTAAGATAAAAATCCCTAATGTGGTGTGTAAGACCCACATAGTGTGGTTCCAGCTTACTCTCCAGCCTGTGCTCTCCTTGCTAGCTTGGTTTCAGTCACAGCAGCCTTTCTTCAGTCCTACTTGACCTATTCCTCCCACCACAGGACCTTTGCACATGCTGCTTTCTCTGCCTGCTACAGTCATCTCCTCTTGCTTCATCTTGTTGCTGTTGTTAGGTCCCATCGAGTCGGTTTCGACTCATAACCACCCCGTGCACAACAGAATGAAACACTGTGTCATCCTCGTAATCGCTGTTCTGCTTGAGCCCTTTGTTGCAGCCACTGTGTCAATCCATCTCGTTGAGGGTCTTCCTCTTTTTCTCTGACCCTGTACTTCACCAAGCATGATGTCCTTCTCCAGGGACTGATCCCTCCTGACAACACGTTCAAAGTATGGAATACGTAGTCTCGCCATCCTTCCTTCTAAGGAGCATTCTGGTTGTACTTCTTCAAAGACAGATTTGTTCCTTCTTTTGGCAGTGCATTGTATAATCAATATTCTTGGCCAACACCACAATTCAAAGGCATCAATTCTTCTCCGGTCTTCGTTATTCATTGTCCAGCTTTCGCATGCATATGATACAATTGAAAATACCATGGCTTGGGTCAGGCGCACCTTAGTCTTCAAGGAGACATCTTTGCTTTTCAACACTTTAAAGAGGTCTTTTGCAGCAGATTTGCCCAAGGCAATGTGTTGTTTGATTTCCTGACCACTGCTTCCTTGGGTGTTGATTGTGAATGTTTTCATCTAGTTAATGTCTATCCTCCTTCCTTATCTTCCTCTGACCAGGTCAGCTCCTCTATATGCTCCCAATGCAACTTCTCCATCTCCTTCATAGCACTTACCATATTTATCAGCTTACATCTATTTGTGCAATTGTTTGATTAATATGCTTCGCTACTATCCTGCAAGCTCCCTAAGGGCAAGGATCATATTTATATTAACTCCCTAGTTACTCTCAGGGCTTAGCAGTGCCAGGCACATAGTAAGAATTTAATAAACATTTGTTGAACGGAAGAGTACTTGAAAGAGGAACAACAGAAATGCCTTGGGGTGGTTATTCTTAGTTGTCTTCAAGTTAGCTCCAACTCTTGGTGACCCCAAACACAACAGAAGGAAATGTTGCCTGGTTCTGTACCATCTTCACGATCATTGGTATGCTGAAGCCCATTGTTGCAGCCATTGCGTATTTTGAGCGCCTTCCAAGACTGCAGCCTTCAGTAAGGATTACACCTCAACATAAAGAAAACAAAAATCTTCACAACTGGGCCAAGAAACAACATCATGGTGAACGGAGAAAAGATTGAAGTTGTCAAGGATTTCACTTTACTTGGATCCACAATCAACGCCCGTGGAGGCAGCAGTCAAGAAATCAAACAGTGTATTTACATTGGGTAAATCTGCTGCAAAAGACCTCTTTAAAACCTTAAAAAGCAAAGATGTCACTCTGAGCACGAAGATGCACCTGACCTAATACAGGAAAAGCCCTTCTTCCTTCCATAGGGAGGTATTTTCAATCACCTCATATGCATGTGAAAGCTTGGCAGTGAATAAGGAAGACCAAAGAAGAATTGACGCCTTTGAATTATGGTGTCGGCAAAGAATATCAAATATACCATGGACTCCCAGAAAAACAAATCTGCCTTGGAATAAGTACTGCCAGAGTGCCCCTTAGAAACAAGGATGGCTAGACTTCATCTCGTGTACTTTGAACATGTGATCAGGAGAGATCAGTCCCTGGAGAAGGACAATCATGCTTGGTAAAGTAGAGGGTCAGCAAAAAAGAGGAAGACCCTCAACGAGATGGCCTGACACAGTGGCTGCAACAATGGGCTCAAGCACAGCAATGGCTGAGAGGATGGTGCAGGACCAGGCGGTGTTTCTTTCTGTTCTACGTAGGGTCACTATGAGGTGGAACCACCTCTACAGCAGCTTACAACAACAACAACAAATCCAACCTAAGGGTTCATCCTCTAGCACTGCGTCCGACAATATTCTGTTGTGAGTCATTGGGTTTTCATCAGCGAATTTTTTAAGTAGATCACCAGTCTTTTCTTCCTAGTCTGTCTTAGTCTGGAAGCTCTATTGAAAACTGTCTACCAGGGGAGTATGTGAAATACTGAAGGCGTAGCTTCCAGCATCAGAGCACCATACAAGCCACCGCAGACAAACTGACAGACAGGCGGTGGCCATCTGGCTCACGGACACCCTTACTGGACACTAGGTGCTGTGTGAATGAGCTCCCTAGAGCGCACTGGTGGTGGGTTCATCTGCACTGGTGTCCCTGTCAGGGGCTAGGGCAAGCCAGCCTCCCTGGGGAAGGAAGAAGGGGCTTCCCTGGGTAGGGCCCAGCCCCACAGGCCAGGATTCTTGGAGGAGGCAGATCCTGGGATAGGCCATGAGGGCTGGGAGCTGGTCCTCCCGCTGCCAGGTGGGACCCTCCCTGTTCTACACTGTCTCCTTACTTCCCTCCCACCGTCCACCAGGGAGGGCCAGGCGGGCTTCCTCCACGTTCCTCCTGTTAGCTCAGCACCCCCTTGCTATAAACTCTATGACTGAGTCGGCCAGGCTTGATTTTTGATAAGCTAATGAGTTACTATGAGTTGGAACTGACTCGACGGCTCCTAACAATCACAACAAGACCAGTTTTGACTACAAGTGAACGTCACCTTCTACATTCAATTTAGAGTCTCCCTTAGGGCCCCCACCCTCGCTGTGGCCATAAATTGAGACTCCACCACCCGTGTGTGTGTGTGTGTGTGTGTGTGTGTGTGTGTGTGTGTCCACCTGTGCACATATTCAATGGAATCTCGAATAAAGGATGGGGCTGCTAACACAGCAACATCAGCCAGAGACAAAGACATCACCAGGTAACACTGAGCTTTATTAAGGACCGCACCCCAGAACCTGCCCTGATGGTCCCTCAGAGCGTCTGCCTTTCTGCAGGTGCGTGTCAGACACACCTGGGCCACAGACACCTGGGACAGAGTGGTGAAGGGCCACAGGGGCTCAGCTGCACTCCACGCCGGCATCCTCAGCATGGGCGCAGTTGTGTGAACCCCAGGCGTTCTTATTACATTGCCACAGACTCTCCTCGGAGCCTCTACAGGCGACTTCATCCAGCCAGATCTGCCCGGTGCCTTGACATGGGGAAGCAAGGACAGAAGGAGAGAGAGAGTCAAAGCTGAATAGGCACGCTTATCCCCGGGAGCTTCCATCTGGGGTAGGTAGGCAATTTCTCCCACATCCCCTCTGGCCCACAGTGCTGCTGACAGCTTGTCCTGTCCAATGACTTGCCTCCATTCTGCTTTCTACCCTTTGGCAAAAGTCTCACCCAATTTGTTAATATTTAATCCACGCACGATTTGAAGTCTCCCAGGGATCTCCCGACATTCAGGTTCTCTCCTGCTAATTCGCCATTGCTGTGACCCTTCCTGCTCGGATGCTTTTATCACCAAGTCCTACTCCCGCCCCCAGGCTCTCCGCCCTCTCTCAAGCCTCCTGCCTTCTGAGAGAATTGATCTCAGATCAAGAATTCAGACGATGGCAGTTGGATTATCTGATTAAAGTAAATTACCCCATGGTGTGACTGACAGGCTTAATCTGTATGAGAAAAATGTGCTTTGGGGTGGGGCAGGGACAGATAGATAGCATTTGGGGATGGGGCAAGGAGAAGCAGGCCTATCCCTGCTTCGTCAGCTCTTATGGCCAAAGTAAGAGGCTTATGAACCTTTTTGCTGAAAGTTTGAACTTCTTGCTGAAAGACAGAGGGCTGAGTCCTAGCATCCCGGGACACCTTCCCCACGCCAATTTTAGTGCCTTCTCTGGGTCAGTCTCCTTGTCCCTTTCCACTGTCGCCTTAAAGGCAGTTCAGGCTTTGAGCTCCAGACAGCTGGAGTGAGCAGCACTGTTTGCCTGCAGCCTTCCGCCAGTCTTCTGGCACCATCTTCCCCGTTGTCTTTTGGAAGTTCATCCCTCATAAACACCTTTGGCCAGGTGTCGCTCTGACCCCAGGGCTGCACGGACATTGACCCATGCCAGACCTGCTGTCACGATGGGGAGGAGACGCCATCATTCTGCTGGGGTGGGTGGGGGCTGGAGCCCTGAGCTGCTGGATTTTCAATTGCTTGACCAGTGCTTTGTTTAACCGAAACCACTCTGAACCACTTGTCACCAAAGGGTCTCAACACCCCAGCACTGAGAGAGGGCCCACTCAGCACCTCAAGGGAAGAGAACCTTGGCAGACGCTTCACTCACCAGCTAACACACCGAAAATCGCCCTCCCTGAAGAGTAACCCAGCATGCGGCAGAAGACTGTGGCATCGGAATTGTCCCAGCCATCATCACAGATGGTCCCCCAGACGTTGTTATGGTAGACTTCAGCCCGGCCTCGAGACGGGCTACCGATGATCCTGACGGGTATCGGGGACTCGCCTGGGGGAGGAAACATTGGGAGGCAAGGCCAACCACCCCGGGCTTGGTCCACACACGCTTCCTTCTTATAGTCGTGAAAAAGATGCCCAAGCAGGATCCTGGGCTGGTCCTCCCTTGCTGTTCTCAGAGCTCAGAGGATCTCCCATCACTGCACCAACCCGACCTGGCAGGCAGCTTCCGCACACCTGAGCCTACACCGGGATGTCAGAGGAGCACTGCCTCTGGGGCTGGCCATGCAGAGCCAACACAGCTAGTCTTCCACGTGTTGTAGAGATAAAAAAAGAAAAACCGAGAAAAAAGGAAGGAAGGAACAAAGGAAGCGAGGGAGGGAGGAGGAGGGAGAGAAAGAAGGGAGGGAGGG